CGGAGGATCAAGTTCCACAGAGAGAGAGTCCCCGTGTCCTGTGGGCAGAAACAGCGGTCTTTGTTACACTTCACCGTGTCCGCACTTCTGTCCAGGCCGCGGCCGCAGCCGCAGGCTCCGCGTTTCCCCTTGTCGCCCATCAATCTCATCGGTTCTTCTGAGCTTAATGTTCTGGAAAAACATATGAAATAAATCCTTTTTATAGCTGACCTGAATCATGGCCATGTCCAGGCCATGAGGTCAGAGGTCACCAGAACCTGCTCAGTCTGTTCTGAGGTCTGTAATTAGTTCACGTGATTTAAGTGAATAAAAGTCAGGCCTTTGTCTTCATGATGCAGACGGATACCAAAAAACACCAACCAGGAACTAAATGGTTCCAATAGTGTCTGTTGATACTTCACTGAGGTAAAGGTCAAGTGCAAAGTTTTTTTTTTCTAAATGAGTCCTCTGAGGTGTTTAAAAAAAAAGAAGAAGAAAAAAAGAAGAAAACTCCAGGTTATAAATGCCTGGTAGTATTTCTACATGTAATGCCGTGTTTTTGACATTTAAATGTTTTTTTTAATTATACAGAATCCATTCTGAACAGTTAAAGTTAATAAAACCAGGATGTGCCTCAGATGAACTGATCCATAATCACACCACAGAGTCGTAGTTTGTTATTTCGCACTGGCCCGAATGAAACTAGGTCAACTCCCAAAACAGTGCAGCACTTCTGTTGTTCTTCTTCATCCTCACGCCGCTGCAACAGCAGCAACAGCAACAACAGCAACAACAGCAACAACAACAACAGCAGCAACAACAGCAACAACAGCCTGCCAGGATGGCACCACCGTCCGGGACCGGACCGTCTGTACGGTCTGTGGTGGGAGTTGACTTACAAACCAGTGTCAAAATAATCAATGTCAATTCTCAGGCTGTTGTGATGAATGGCTCTTCTCCTCCAATGGTAAGAGCTCGTAATTAGAGTGAGCAGGAACACGGAGCCACAGCCTGCAGAAGAAACCAGCCAAGGAGCTGCAAGGCTGAGATCCAACTGCCTCGGGCTGAGCTGGTCTAATTGGCAGCTGTCTGACTTGTCAGCCGAGTCAGCGCACTTACACACACACACACACACACACAGAGACACACACACACACAGCCATTTTGTTACCTGATCAAATGTGAATGCTGATATAGATGCTGAGGGGGTTGGGCTGCAGGGACGTGGGCCGTGCTGCGACGGAGACTGATGCTGACTGAGAGGGTTTGGTTCTAAAACGTCTCATTGTGTTTAAAAACATTCATTATCCTGCTGTAGTTTTTTAGTTGTAGGATGTAAAATCTTTTTTTTTTTTTTTTGCTGGTATTGAGTGTGATCAGCCCCTGACCAGCGCCTGGCCGGTCAACACGTGTCTCGCTGGTTTCGCAGGCCGATCGTCTTGCGCACGTGTTCCGCGTCGGAGAACGGGTCAGGAAAACTCTGAGCTCTCAGTGTTTGTGATATGTATAAAATCATGGTAAACCGTGGTAGTGGGGGAGGGGTTTGGGGTGATTAGAACGACCGTTCTAACCTGATCATTTAAACAACACCATCCAGTCGTACGAACCAGAGTTGTTGTTGTTTTCATGATACATTTTCAGGCTAAACTAACGAGCTACCACACTGATGCCCCGCCCTGCCCCGCCCCCCACCCCTAGAGACAGGCAGTATACCCACAAATGCCCTGGTCGTCCTGAGCGTAGGGCGGCGGCGGCGGCAGCAGTGCATTGTGTGAAATGAGTGTCCTGCCTGCTTATGCACAGCATCTGCCACGACTATGACACTGTAATATATTTGTCTGTCACTCCCGTGTTTTTCCCCTGAGTAACTTGATGGATGTTCCCCAGCACAACAATTC